AGGCACCGCCTGGTTCCCAAGGCAGCCTGTGACATTGCAGCTTGCCAAAGGGTCCAGCATCTGGCAGTGTATTAGCTTTCTCACTCCCAGCAACCCTTCTGGGAGGTGCTGCTAAAGACTGCATTTTAGGGCAAAGAAGGCAGACTGAAGATTCAAGAGCTTCGGGGGTGGAGAATGCAGGTTAGAGGCAGCTTTTAGTGTTGCTGTTGCGTGACAGGAGTCATCCACAACGTACCCTGGGGTCCTGGGGTTCCCACACCCTTGCCCCCAGTCCTCGTGGGAGGTCCTGTGCTGCTCCTGTCCCTGTCTTCCCAGTGGACGGCAGGAGGGGGAGCATGAGGCTAGGTCTCAAGTAGAGGAACTATGCAGTCATTCATGTGTGTCTCCCTGGGCCTGGAGCTCTATATGAAAGCAAGGATCATGCTCTGGTTTGGGGTCCACGGGAAAGTAGACATGGGGCAGTTAGTGGGTCTGCCCTGGCTATGGGGAACAGTGGCACATGGGCCAGACATCTGTCATACTCTGTCTAAAGTGGAGTCTCAGCCCAGCACTATTGTCTTTTGGGGTCATCTGTGGGGTCACCCTTTGCATTACAACATGTTGAGCAGCACACCTAGCCCCCCACCCCAGCCTCACAGTCTCTACTGTCTCCAGACGCTGCTGCATGTGGCCGGGTTGCTGGAGTGGGTGGGCGGTTGAGAACTGCAGCATGGAGTCCAGAGTTCGCTCTCCTGCTGGGAAGGAGGAGCCCTGTCCCTGTGCCGCTGCTAACGCACATCATTAATGGAGGTGTGACTGCCTTCACTTGCTTCTTGCTGTTCTGGAGACAGGCAAAGCCACTGCTCCTGAACCATCGCCTCTGAGCTCCTTCAGGCTGTGCCAGCCCTCTGGGGGCTGGGCCGAGTGCCGGGCAGAGCCAGCAGGCCTGGAGCCCTCTCAGTGGTGCCCACTGATGGGCGGAGCTGTGGGTCTCTGCTTTGGGCCAGAATTCAGCACAGACAGGCTGAGCAAGCCCAGGAGCTCTGCTGCAGGTGCACATGTGTGCTAGGCTGCTCTCAGCAGTTTACTCTCAGATCGCTCCCTCTGTCCCTGGTCCTCGGTGGACCATACTGTGCCTGTGTGAGCTGGGAAACAGTGAAATGACAGGGCAGGGGGACAGCTCAGGGGAACTTGCAACAGGTTGATTGGGGTCCAAAGCAGCTGAGTCCTTGACTGAGCTTTGCCACCACCCCCACCCCACCCCATGCCAGGAGAGAAGTGGGAAGTCTGCCAGTTGTGCTCGGGGCTGCAGGGACTGCTGTCCCTTTGTGTGCCTGGATCTCTGCTTTCTTCCAAGAGTCTTGGTAGCGAGGCCTTGGACAACCAAGGAAGGTCCTGGCAGGTTACCCCAGCCACAGCTGTCTTAGGAGTAGAAGCATCATGGGCTGGTTGGGAAGGACCTGGCTGAGGCCCCGGGGACAGCCCAGTGACACACTTCAGTCTGAGTTGGTCAGAGCAGCTAATAGTATTCATTTATCCGGGGTTTCAGAGGCTGCAAAATCGAGCTGTAAACCCTAGCAAATACCATTCCACAGCAGGAATTCTTGTTCCCAGCATCACTGGCTCAGGGAGATGGCTGCATGTACCTGTCAGACTCGGAGTTGGCCATCCCTTGATGACGACATCGAAGTCACCAGGCCTTAGGGCTGGAAACATGTAAGCCTTCCCAGAAAGCCCTGGGATGTATTTCAAGCCTGGAGTTTTGTCCTCCGCACGTGTAGCATCCATCCCCGTGTAGCGGCGTCTCCCACCCTTGCACTTGCGCACGAACAATATCAGCAACTCGGGGCCGTGCTTGGGGTGGGAGCCAGTGTTCACAGCTCCACCAAGATCTGCATCCCGCCTATGGGAAAAGAAATCCAATCTGAATAATAAATACGAGGTGTACAAGTATATCCTGCCCTGGCTGGCGAGGCTCAGTGGACTGAGTGCCAGCCTGCAAAACAAAGAGTTGCTGGTTCGATTCCCAGTCAGGGCACATGCCTGGGTTGCGGGCCAGGTCCCCAGTTGCGGGTGCATGAGAGGCAACCAATTCACATTGATGTTTCCCCCTCCCTTCCCCTCTCTCTAAAAATAAATTAAAATATATATATATCCTAACAGGAAGATGGGGCAGATTCATGAGAAAGTTATAAATTCAAAGCAAGCCTGCATCACTTGTAAGGAACCTTTATCATGAGAGACCTTTAATGTTCCAAAAGTAGTGGTAAGTCTGACCCAACAGCACCCTGTTGGGGAAGGGGGGGCGGTATGTGACCTTTTGCAGATCCAAGCCAGCAGTAGCAGCCCTGGGCAGCAGCTCCAGACTCCAGGAGCACCTGTAGCATCCTGGGGTGCTGTGGCCTCTGGCTCACGCATGCCGTACCTGGAGATGAGACCTATCAGCTGCCCCAGCATTCTCGAGGACTGCCCTCGTGATCCCAGACCAGCTGCATGCCAGTGGTCCCCACACCCCGCCCCAGGCAGGTGGCCTGACCCCCAGTTTCCCTGTCTGTAAGACAGATGCTCCTCTCCCCACATAGCAGAAGCATATGGGCAAGGCCCCGGGACAGGCAGGGCTCTGCGGGCACAAAGGAATGCACATTACAGAACATTCCACAGGAGAGCAGCTGGGAGGGAGCACAGAGGAGCTCCCACTGTCCTGAGCTGGCTCCAAGTACTGCCCCCACCCACCCAGCCTGCTGACCACCCTGTGACCGGGCAGTCCTGGGACTAGGCCTCCAAGACAGATCATGTGCAGGCGGTTCAAGGGGTGAGGTGCTGACTACCGTGGAGCCTGTTCTGGTCACAAGATGATGGCCTCGTGGGCAGAGTGAGGGGAGCTGTGGGTCCTGTGTTCATCCCCAACCTCAGGCGGGAGATCAAAGGCGTGAGCATACCCGCGAGGTTGGAACAAATAAGCTCCGGGACAGAATTCAGACAGACGGACAGACAGGGGCTCCTCCCCTACTGTGGCGTATGCCATAGGAAATTCACTGCTGCCTTGAAGTGCAGGCTTTAGTCAGGTAAAGTGTCAGGTTATATGGGAGCCTCCTTTCACAGGTCCCTTCGCAAACCTCACATACTGTCCCTCTGTCCTGTTTCCAGGGTGACTGAAGGTGTCACTTTTGTGGAAAGCATAAGTGCCCTTGGGGACCTTGGGTCCCCAGTGGGGTCCCTCATCCCTATTTCCCCAGAGACCTGCTGGCCCACTGTCCACTGGTAACACTGACCCATGTAGCAGCCTGGGGACTATGTCCCACCCAGCTTGGGCCAGTTGGACCTGGACAGCAGCTTCTTATCAGGGTCGGGCACAGACCCTCTCGCATAGAGCCACAAGACTTGGTTTGAAGCAGCCCCCAAATTAAACTAACAAACAGTCCATGTTTGGCCAATAGTTCAACTCGCTCCTCCAGTGTCAGGTGAGCAAGAGGCAATGGGGCGCCTGCATTCCCCTTGGGGGTGCCTTTGCTACTGTTTGAGACCCTCCTGTGAGTGCACGAGTGTGCCGGAGCCAGCACACCCCGGAGGCAGGGGGGCCAGGGACTGAAACCCAGGGGTCCGGTGACCCTCCCCAGTGCAGAGAGGAGGGCCAGCCCGCCTGACTCCTGTCCTGTGTCTGTCTGCACCGGCTGATGGGGTGGCCCCTCCTCACGGAGTGAGTCCATCCAGGCCCATGTGTTCCCACATTTCACAGTGTCTACCGTGCTGGGCTGAATGGTAACCCCCGAATACATGTCCACTGGAACCTGTGACTGTGCTTGTATTTGGAAAAAGGGTCTCAGATACAATCAAAGTAAGGATCAAGATGAGACCACCCCGGGTTAGGGTGGGCCTTAAATCCAGTGAGTGTCCCTGTAAGAGACAGAAGAGGAGACAGAGGGAGGAGGCTGTGTGTGGAAAAAGGCAGAGACTGGAGTGATGTGACCATAAGCCAAGGACCCCTGCAGCTCCCAGGAGCTGGAAGAGACAGGGAGGACCATCCACAGAGCCTCCAGACGGAGCGTGGCCCTGTGACACCTGGATTTCAGCCTTTTGGCCTCTGGAACCGGGAGGGAAGAGGCCTCTGTTGTCCGAGCCCGCAGTCTTCTGGCACCTGTTAGTGCAGCCCTGGGGCACTCACGTGGGCCTCGCTGGGCCACGGTGCACGTCAGACGGGCTCGTCTCTCTGTGCGCTCCGAAACTGAGAGTGTGGGGCCGTGGGATGCAGGGTCCTGCCCACTGTGGGTAGGAATGGTCGGCAGAGGCATGGGCCTGAGCTGTCCAGACCACACCCCATATGTCTAGGGGCCCAGTGCGTTGTTCATCTGGATTAAGGACCAAGGCTGAAATCCGACGGCTCCGCCACACACCTGTCCGGAAGGTGCCCAGGTTGTGCAGCCCTGGGGAAGAGAGTTACTGGCACCGTGGCACCATCAGCCTGCGCCGTCCTCTTGTTCTGTTCAGTCCCTGCTGCGTTCCAGGGTCTGAGTCATTTTTGGGTCATTTTGTGCTCACCAGGCCACGAGGAGGTGGCATTCAAGAGTTCCATCGCACACACGAGAGGCCTGGCGTGGGTCCCCTGGCCTGCGGCTCTCGAACTGAGGTCTGTGGGGGACCATGCTCTGAGGTGACCAGGGCTGATCAGCCCCTCCCTCCGGACATGTCCCTGCATCCGCCTGGGCTGTCAGCACTCGGAATGGCCAAGGATCTGTCTGCAGAGGCACCATCCCCCTCTCAGATGGACCACGGGCCCCTTGAAGGCCATGTTCCTCCAGATCATGGCAGGGTCATGCTCACCTTGTCTGAGCTCCGGACCCCAGGGAAGCCAGGACTGTGTGCGTTGGTGGCTCAGTGGGTGCATTTAATTTGTCACAGTGGAAAGAGTTCACCCCACTGTTTTTGCCTGTTATTGTCTTTTCTTCCAGGGCCATTCTGGAACTTACTGCATGGCCTCTGCAGAGCTCTCTAACCCAACCTTTCTGTCTGTTCGGCCTTTGCAGGTGATGTGTCCAATCTGGATCCAAAATTCTCATTTGAAGGCACCAACCTGGACGTGGGAAACATTGTGTTGGCGTTGTACAGCGGCCTCTTTGCTTATGGGGGATGGTAAGTTCCAGAATGTCTGGGTCTCTGGGCCTTGGGACACACAGGGCAGGCCTGAGATGTCCAGAAATCTGAATCTCTCGGCCGCGTGCGGGCGGTTTTAGAGAGTGGCAGGAGAGCCTCTCAGAGCTGCTTGAGCCCCGTGCATCCTGGGAAAGCACAGGGCGGGCCCCATAGCCGCCCTGGGTGCCGTTCTCCTCTGTGCCTAGGCTCCTGAGAAGGCGGCCCTGTAGATGAACCTTTGCTGAAGGGTGTGAAGCATCTGCATTCAATGGGCTGGGCCTGGTGGTCCTTGGCTTCTTCCTCGCCAGGTTTCCCCCAACACTTTCTGTCCCGCTGGGTCCCCAGCTGTGGCCCTGCTCTCAGGCCGGATCCTACTGGGCCACAAGAATGACTGCCATGTGGCGGGCAGGTGGGGGGTGAAGGTGCTAGAAGGCAGGTCAGAGAGTGGACAGAGCCAGCCGAGGCGGCGGGCCTGCTGGGGTCACGCTTTTCTCAAAGGAGCAGGACTTCTCCCTTGCCCCCAGCTGTTCACCGAGATGGGCCCCGGTGGTGGGGGAGGGGTCTCCTCTCCCCTGGCCCAGAGCCCCCAGCAGGGGCTTCCCGTAGAATCTGTGTCCTCTTGCCCCCCAGTGACTCTGGGAGGACTGTGTGGTTACACCCTGCTCTCTAAATTCTAGGAACTACCTGAATTTTGTCACAGAGGAGATGATCAACCCCTACAGGTACATGTGTGAACAGAGACGTTTCCTTTTGTTATTTTAATGTGACAGAAGGAAGAAACCAGTCCTGCCTAAGAACCCTTCTGTGGGCCCAGCCTGGTCTCAGATGAAAGCAGTGCAGGGCCTTTCAGGAGGGGCCTTGGGGTTGGGATCATGCTGGGGTGAAGGGGCGCTGGGTTTTGACCTCAAACCAGCCACACAGTGGCTATGTGCCCTTTGACGTGATTTCCCCTCAGAATAAACAGGAATGCCCGTTTGACAGAAGGGGAGCTGAGGCCGGTGGGGTCGAGTCTCTAGCCCGGGTTCATGCAGCTGCCAGGCCCCTGTGTGCCAGAGTGTCTTTGGGGCTGGTTCTGTCGGGGCTGTGCTTGGATGACCTGCCCTCTCGTTCCTTCCAGAAACCTGCCCCTGGCCATCATCATCTCCCTCCCCATCGTCACCCTGGTGTACGTGCTGACAAATCTGGCCTATTTCACCACGCTGTCCACCGAGGAGATGCTGACGTCAGAGGCTGTGGCCGTGGTAAGATGACCAAGGCCGGCCTTGCCGCCTCTGAGCCTGTGACGTGGAGCAGACCCGGCCCCTCGTCTGCAAACCGCACTTCTGCACGGAGGAGTTGAGCTCCTCTCTGCCGAGTCTGCCAGAAAGTGTAGGGTGCTGGTTCTCAACCCTGGCTGCTGATGCCCAGGCCACACCCTAGGCCAGTTTTAAGTCAGCATGTCTGCGGCGATCCCAGCATCAGTCCTTTTTAAAGTCAAGTGCGGAGGGGGTGAGTCCATTACGGTGGTTTGGATGGTCCAGTCCCCGCAACTGAGGTCTGCGACCCAGAGCACAGGGAGGAAAGACTCGGTGGCCTTCTCCCACCGCTGCCCATGATACCTGGAGCCACCTCTGCTGGGCATTCCGGACACAGGGTTCAGAGGAGGGAGAGCAGAGTCCCCGGGCCCCATGGTGGCGGCAGCAGCCGAGCACCTTGTCAGCCTTCCAAACCCAGCAGAACGGGGCCCTAAGTAGAGCCAGTGGGCCTTCGAATGCCCTGCAGGGGTCCCGTAGGCTCCCTTCCCATAGTGTCCTCCCCAGCCACGTCGGCAGATGAGGGTCGGCACCCACTCGCCCTCTCCACCCTCTGAGTGAAAGCTCACTGAGCCCTGCTCTGGGGCAGGCCATGGGGACCCAGCCAGAGACAAAGCAGGGTTTCCTTGTGGAGCAGACATATGAATGGGGAGAAAGCCTGGCACCTGGTGAACCCGGTGTGCTGCCGGGGTGAGGAGCACCCAAGGACAGTCAGTGCCAGCACGTGGGGATGAGGGGTAAAGCACCACTGCTATTCTAAAGAAGTCTCTGTCCCTGGGACAGCCCCCCACAATCCAGACCCCAAGGAGTCACTCGTGTGCAGAATCCTTGCGAGAATGTGTAGGAGGGCGGCAGACAAGGGGGCTTGGCCGGGCCGGGCCGTGAGGACAGCGTGCTGTCCATGTGGAGCGTCGGGCTGCGTGCTGGGCATCGCAGAGCTTCGCTCACTCGTGCTCGGCCTCTGTCTAGGACTTCGGGAATTATCACCTGGGCGTCATGTCCTGGATCATCCCCGTCTTTGTGGGCCTGTCCTGCTTTGGCTCCGTCAACGGGTCCCTCTTCACATCCTCCAGGTGAGCCCACCCAGGACCACCCTTCCACACTTGGGCTCTGTGGGAGCTAGGGCAGGACTGGGGGGCAGGCGGGTGTAGTGCTGCATGCTGCTTACTAACATGAGCTTTAAAAGTTGTGGGGGGGGGTGTATATATATATTAATATATACATATGTATTAATATATATATATGTTAGTACATAGCTGTCAAAACGTTCCAGTTATACAGAAGTAAAGGAACATGACTCTCCCCTCCCCAGAGGTGACACAACTGCTCAGCTACTGTGCCCTCCAGACTCTTTCGTGGGTTCATTGTGCACCCCGCCTTTGAGGAGGGGGACTGAAAGTGAGCAAGGCCCCCGAGTGTCCCCGTTGCCAGCGAGTCGGCCAGGGACACCACGAGGCACCCGTCCGGGAGCCCAGCGCTTGGGCATAGGCGCCCTCTACTGCCCACCCTGCCTGGGCTGCTCGGAGATGAAGCTGACCGTCAGCTTTTCTGTCCACAGGCTGTTCTTCGTGGGGTCCAGGGAGGGCCACCTGCCCTCTGTGCTCTCCATGATCCACCCGCAGCTCCTGACACCCATGCCCTCCCTCCTGTTCACGGTAAGCCGGCAGCACCGTCCGGTGCCCCCTTCTCCGGGAGGACTGCAAGCAGTTTGAAGTGCAAACCCGGGTTCCCCTTAGGGATCAGTGTTGAGTTGAGGGCCCCCCAGCAGGAGCAGGGGTGGGGCAAGGCTGCAGGGTCCATCTGCAAGACGCCCTCCCGGCTCTGCCTGGTGTCACCGGGACGACAGGTTGGGGCGGAGACCGAGATACAGATCAGCTAACAGAGTGCTTCCTTGTACGGTGCCCTCCGCTGCATGCTCCACTGAACAACAAAGGGCGCTAGATCTTTTTTTATGTTTCTAATTCCAAAAATAATACCACAGTAGTTATAAGAAAAAACAAAAACCTTCAAACAGTCCAGCGCACGTGAAGCAGAAGCCCCATTCGTTCCCCGAGGGAACCAGAGTTCCTGGGTGGCTTCCGGGTCCCGCGCCTCTCTGCCCGGAGCGCTGCGGCGAGTTCACAGATGCGTGTGCACAGCACTTGTATTTCCAGTGAGATCACACTGTGCGTGTTTTTCTTCAGCTTGCCTTACGTCTCTCCTCGCCCAATAGACACGATTTTATTAGTTCTCTATTGTTTTGTAACAAGTCACCCAAAACTTAATGGCCTAAACAGAAAGCATTCATCACCTCTCCATTTCTGTGAGTCAGCAGTTCAGGGCAGCTAGGCCAGGTGGCCCTGGGTCAGGGTCCTTTGTGAGGTGGCGACAAGTCGGGGTTCGGGGCTGCTGTCCCGTCTGAAGGCTCTGCCCCAGCTGGCGGGGCCATGTCCAGGATGGCCCCTCCCACAGCTGCGGGCAGGAGGCCGCAGTTCCTCAGGATGTGGGCTCGTCCTCAGGGCTATGTGGATGTCCCCGCCGACAGGGCAGCTGGCTGCCCCCTGTCAAGGGCAAGGGAGCCGAAAGGAATAGCCAAGAAGAAGCCACCATGTTTTTATGACCTCGCTCAGGAGTCACACTTGTCATTTCTGTCTCGGTCTGTTGGTTAGGAGTGAGTCAGTAGACGTAGCGCAACTCAAGGAGAGAGGGCCAGGCCCCACTTCTCAAAAGGACAGATAGCAGATGACCCTGGGACCTCTAAAACCATGCAGAGCTCGAGCGCAGTTTCAAAACCCTGGCATGGCATCCCGTGGCCCGAGTGTCAGCAGCTGACTTACATGAGCCCCGTGCTGGGCACTTGGGGCGGTTCCCAGCCATGGCTCTTACAGACAATGCTGCGGGGAGTGTCGGGTGTGGGCATTTGCACCCTCCCCCTGGCAGTGGCGCCTTTGCTTTCTGAGAACTCGAGTGTTGCTCAGAGTAGGTCTTCCTTTAAAGCGGGAGTGCACATGTGCCGTCAGCCCCCTGCAGACACGTCCCAGCGTTGGGGTGGCCTCCGTCGTCCGGGACTGCCCTGTTCCCAGCTCCGGCCCAGGCCCTACGAGGGCTCACGCTTCCCCGTCTCTCTGCTTGCAGTGCATCATGACCCTGCTGTATGCCTTCTCCACCGACATCTTCTCCGTCATCAACTTCTTCAGCTTCTTCAACTGGCTCTGTGTGGCCCTGGCCATCATCGGGATGCTGTGGCTCCGCTACAAGAAGCCTGAGCTGGAGCGGCCCATCAAGGTGAGGGTCCAGCCGTGGAGGGCGTCCCAGGGCCAGTTGGGGGCTCGGTGGGTCATGTGCTGAAGACACCGGGCCCACATGTCCCCAGGGGCCCTGTGTTGGGAGCCAGGTCTGCATAGCTTCTTGGTTCTGCCCCTTCCGGCATGTGCCTGGCCAGCCACCATCCTCCTGTAGAGGGTTCTGGTGAGGATCCACCAAGATAAACCTGTGAACGTGCTTCTACACCCGGACGTGGAGGGTAATTCACTCAGCCAATGACCGTTAATTGGGAACCTTTAGAGTCCCTGCCAAGGGGGTGATTCCACGTTCCGGGGCTCATCAAAGGACAAAATAGACTCCCCGCAAATCCATGTCCTTCTAGAGCTTATGTTCTAACAAAAGGGAGCATGATAAATAAGAACCCTGTAGTGCCGGTGGGGGGGTGATGAGCACTGTGGGCGTGGGCAGGCTGGGCCTCACTGGCCTGGGAGCCGCTGACCAGGACAGCTGGGGCTACTGAGAGGATGGCAGAGGTGTAGGGGCCACATGGAGGGTAGGAGGTGACGTGTCCTACCTGCCGCCCCGCACAGATGGCGCTGCCTCCGTGTGGAGAGTTTGGGGTTAGGCTGCCCAGGAGAAAGCCGGGGTGACAGCCGAGCCTGGCCTGAGGGGAATGCAGCTCTCCTCGTCAACCCGCTGCTGGGGGGCAGCTGCCCGGGGGTGGCCTTGTCCAAAAAGAGGGGCCGGTGACCTCCACGCTCCTGCGGGAGAAGTGCAGTGAGCACCTCGGCTGAGACTCTTGTCGGGGGAGTTAGAGGGACGGACTCATGGTGGCCACTGTCTAGCAGCTCTCGTCCCTTGTCCGGTCCCCAGTGGCATTTGGCCGTCCCATCTGGCACCTGCCCATAGGCCACATCCCGGTGTCCCCCACCCAGCAGTTCTGCGGAGGCCAGCAGGGCCTGGTTCCCTGCCTTGAAAGGGTTCTGCTGGGGCACCGGGGCCACCTGAGTTCCCTCTCCACGTCACCTGGGTGTGTGGTGGGCTCGGCCCCCTGTCAGCCTGTGCCTGCGGTGGACTCTGCCCTCATGCTCTCCCGGGCACAGAGTGGGCTTTGTTTCACTGTTAACCTGGGCTGGGGAAGGGCATGCAGTGGGGGTACCCGGTTGGACCCTCGCTAGCCTTTCATCTCCCGGGGCCTTCTGTCGGTGTGCAGACAGACGGCCAAGTCTGCATGTGGACGAGCCCACCCCGGCGCAGGGGCAGGGCAGGGGGCGGGGCGGGGGCGCCTCCGCGGCTGGTCTGCCGTGAACCCGTGGCCAGGCCTGCCTGCTCGGGGCCGTGCAGACTGGAGTCAGCCTGCCCACAGAGGCTCTTTGAGAAGGCGGCTGCCCCTCACTTATTAGTGGGTGGTGGTGGCCTTTCCAGAAGTGCCCCCCGCCCTTGGGTGACTGGGTGGGTGCTGGGCTAGGGTTTCTGCCCTGTGATGTGGGAACCAGCAAGGTCGACCTCCTCTGACCTTGGGCAGCTTCGAGGGACCAACCTGGTTATTTGTGTTCACGGTCGGCACCGTCTGTGCTTTGAATAATTACTGCCTGGTGCCCTGTGCCGAGTAAATGGAGAACAAGAGAGGGTTTCAGTTCTCCAGCGACCCCCGCCTCTTGGGAGGCCGGCTCTGAGGAAACCGACATGGGTCAGGCTGGGAGAGGTAGACAGGCAGGAGTGATGGCCCTGGGAGGTTGGAGCCACTCTCGGACCAGGTGGGGGGCACAGGCTGTGCTCTGCAGGCTCCCCTGGGGGAGGCCGAGTACCCTGAGGAGGGGGACGGCTCCACCAAGGTCAGGAGGGCGGTGGGGGTGCAGCACTTTCCGTGGGAGGGACAGGACTCGTGCTGCCGGGACACGGGAGGCGGGAGGCGTGTGGAGTGAGTGCTAGGTGCCAACCGCCGTTGCTCCCCCCTCTGTCCCCAGGTGAACCTGGCACTCCCTGTGTTCTTCACCCTGGCCTGCCTGTTCCTGATCGCCATCTCCTTCTGGAAGACACCCATGGAGTGCGGCATTGGCTTTGTCATAATCCTCAGCGGCCTGCCTGTCTACTTCCTTGGGGTCTCCTGGAAAAACAAGCCCAAGTGGCTCCTCCAGGGCATTTGTGAGTATCTCCCCGGTGCAGCCTGGCAGCCAGCGCCTCTCTCCATCCCTGCTCAGGGTCCCCCAGCACCCCGTCCTGGAGCAGACTGTCTGCTGTCTCATCTAATCCCATAGCTGGGGCAGCGGGGAGGGGTGTGCTCATGGTGCTGACCAAGGGTTCAGGCGCTTGACGTGTCTGGAGGTGACATCTGGCCCATGTATTTCAGGGATAAGACGCTCAGCTTGGCACCAGCTAATCTCAGAACAAGGGATTCCAGAAAACCAAGCTGCTTTTGCCAAGTAATGAAATACCACTGCCTGTCGCCAGCTTAAACACAGGCTGACCCAGAAAGGCAGGGAGGGAGAAAACAGATCTCTGCACTGAGGTCACAGGGTTAACTGACAAGCCAAGTTTAGGAGCCTGTGCTAAGGTTCCTAATGTGACCAGCTCCTGGGAAAGTAACTGGTGTTAGCAAGCCTGCACCGCAGTTACCACGTCCTGGGTGGCTTATAAAATCCCCAGGATGGCTGTCTTGGAATTCTGATTGGTGCCTACCCAGTAACTAAGACTGCCAGTCATTTCGGCGGACCTTCGCCGCCAACCCAGTCTAGGCTCCCTGTTACTACTCATCTTGCAGAACCTCCCCAGGCCCTGAAGCAGGGCTCTCTGCCTTGAAATCACCCCCACAGTGTTCACCTGGGCCCCTTGCACACATCCCTCTGCTCCACCCCCTCTGCAAGACCACAGGCCTGTGTCTGTCGTCTGGCAGTGAGCAGTGACCTTGCTTTTGGTCCTGGGTGTCTTCGAGGCAGTGGCCCAGGTGTAGACAAATGGGAAGGGCCCATCAAACAGTCCCCCAGCATCAGGGCTTCTTATCCCTTTCATTTCTCCTGTGATCCCAGGGTTTTGAAACGGCGAGGGGCGGGGACAGTGCTCAGCCTGTTGCCAAGTTCCGTGCACCGCCCCCCCTCCCCCAGCCCCAGTGACTTCTAGAGTCACTGGAAGAGGTACAGCAATTCTCTGCTGCTAACCCGGAATGCGGGCTGCTGCCCGCCAGGAGGGAGGCCCTCAGGCCCAGAGCTCACATTTTCAAATCAGGAGGTATCACACGAAGTTCAGGGTTTCTGGCTTCTCTTGCAACCTTGGAAGTTGTAGTGTCATGAGCCTGGGTGACCTGTGGCTCACAGCACTCACGGGTGCCCCTGGACCCCAGGCACGTGATTGCCTGATACCCAAGTAACTCTGCTCTCCCCTCCTCTGCAGTTTCCATGACAGTCCTTTGCCAGAAGCTCATGCAAGTGGTCCCCCAGGAGACGTAAGGGAGAAGAGCCGGGACTTGCCATGCGGGGCCCGTTTCTGGGCGGACAGAAAATGCACAAAGATCATTTTAAAACAACTCACTAACCTAAAAGCAACTCGGCCCATCATCCTGGCAGCTCAGCTGAGCACCCCGCATCGTCCCTCCACCAGGTCCGGTGCTGGGGACACTGTGAAAACTGGTACAGATTCAGTCCCAGAAGACGAACTTTTATCAGTGAGCCTTCAAGAGCGCGCAGCGCAAATGTGGAACTGAGAAGAGGCTGGGCCTTCTGACTGACCATGTTGGGTCCTTGTCCTTTTCCACCTTTGTTTATTTGAATTATTTTTTTAACTTAATTTTTAGGTCAAGTTGGTGCCACAAGGATGATTATTTTTTAAAGAAACGGGGACGGACAGGTAGGGGGAATCTTTTGTCCCCTTACACTGCCAGCAGAATGATGTGCCTCTGGGACCGGCGCCTGTCGTGGGCGTGGCCCCCAGCGCCAGCTTCAGGCGCAGTCTCGAGGGAGGAGGGATTCCGAGAACCAAACACTAGCTGCCAGTGAGCCATGAGACTTGGCAAGTCCACTGTGTGGACAATGGACTTGTACCGACAGATGCATGTTTGGCATTTTTTTCTTCTTTGTTAGTAGATGTAGTGACATTGGGAAGACTAACCCTGGGCTTATGTCTCTGCCTTAAAGACCTGAGGTGGATCCATCCCTCTCTAACCCCTAGAAAGGAAAGAAGATCTCAGTGAAATGGGCAGCCCCACCTCCACAGAAAGAGTCAGTTCCTGTCGCTGGTGGAGTTCCAGGTTGAGGTCATGGGCAATCTGTTTGATCCTGGAGCTCCCACTGGTTTCTGGGCTAGACCCTGGTCATTCAGGAGGCCGTGGGGCTCCTGGCTTTGTGCCTCCTGCCTGGCATGGCGGCCTGAGCAAAGACACAAAGGCAGGAGGATTTGGGCCCCTCCTGTGGGCAGCGCGCCAGGCCTGGTTTGCAGGTAATGCTGCCTCCCAATCTCTTCTGTATCCAGTTTGGGAGTTAACTCAAGTTCTCTCAGACAAAGCCCCAGGCTGGAAATCTAGCAACAGATGCCACCAGGAAGGCAGATGCTCAGACCCTTAATGGCTTCTCATCTATGCCCCCCATGCAGCCCTTCCCAGGATATCCAGAATTGGCCTCAGTGGGTGGATGGCAACCCCAAAAGGCTGACTGGGGCTGGCTTCAGCTCCTGGCCGGGGCACCATCATCCCCTCCTGCCACTGGCACAGCCTGCCCCAGACTCAGTTCTAGTCAACAGAAGACAGAGCCATGCCTTGCTCACTGCTCCAGCTCTGCACCTGCTGCGGCGGCTGCCCTGGCTCTCCAGGAGCCTGGCTGCCAGCACAGCATGTCCACCGCCTCTCCGGAGAGGCTTTGTCCCCGGACTCCCGTGGTGTTTGGCCCAAGGGAGACAGCTGAGGCCCAGCCAACACGTCTGGCAACCAGCTGGCTTTCCTGAGCTGTCGCTATGCCCAGGAAGCCATCCTGGGGAGCAACATCAGCTAAGTTCGGGTTGTCTTCCTCTAGGCCCTCGTCTTAGGTGCTGGGGCTCTGCCTTGTTCTCTGACCACTTACCTTTTCCGAGCAAGAGGTAGAGCTGGGTCCTCAGGCATCAGGCCTCATTGCTCAGCCATGTGAGCTTCCAACGGCCCAGCCAGCCAGCTGCCCCCCACCTGGGCTCCAGGAACCCCACACAGTCCAGTGAACCTGCAGGAAGCTGACAAGGGTCTTTGGAGACCTGGGCTAGGCTAGGTCTAGAGGCTGAAAGGAGTCAGCCAGGTGTCTGTCTCCCCCCACCCACCACCCCCTGCTAGAAGGAGGCAGAGCTGGTCAGGAGACCTGTGCCATCCTGTGACTTCTGGTGCGTAAGGACAGGCCTCTACGCAAAGTCTCCTTATCTCAGGGCCATATGTCATTTATCCGGGGTGGAGCTCCAGGCCTGAGGGTGGAAAACCCCTGAGGCAAGCTGGCTGGATGGGCCATTCGAAGCTGCAGAGACCTGGCTGCACACTTCCTGTGTGGGGCAGAATCCTTGCCCTGGGCCTCAGTTTTCTCACCTGCAAATGGGGGCAGTGGTCAGTCTGTGTACCACCTGCCTGGTGGTCTGCACGTGTCCCGGAGACTGGACCTTGTAGCGACTGCAGCCCCATGCACAGGTGGCAGGGTGCTGCCTCAGGTGCATGACCCGCCTGCCTTTTCACTGGATCCAGCAGCAGCTGCTAAACAGACAGTTGGCCTCTTCTGGTGGGGGGAGGGGGCACTTGGGCTCCTGTCGTGCTTCCAACCTCTGGCTCTGGAGCGATAGATAGGACCTTGCCAGATGTGGGGTACCAGGCAGCCCTGTCCAGACCACAGTGGCCGCCCCACAGCCATCTTCAGCAGCCTGCGGACAGGTGTGCATCATGGGGAACTGGGGCACTGTCGCCCCTGCAGGGCTAGACTGGGGCCCCAGGGCCCCCTATCCACACTGAGGCAGGGGCTGGAGCGGGCACTGAGAGAGAGGTCAAAGGCAGTTCTGCAGTGCGGCAGGCTGTCCCTAGCACCTGGGCTGGGACCTCTGCTGAAGGTGGGTGGGAGGCCCAGTCTGTGATTCTTGGGGCTATGCTTCCCAACTCAACCCAGCCCAGGGACCCACCTCAGCAGGGAGGGACTTCCCGGGGCTGCATCCTGAGGTGCCTGCCTGCAGACACCCCGGGATCCTGCCGTGTTGGCACCTGGGGAGCAGAGACTTTGCTCTTTCTGACCATTCTACTGACTTGTGTCTGGAGCGTTCACATTTGTGAGGACTAATTTTTTTTTTTTTAACCAAACCCCGGCATAACCAGCAAACATTTGTCCAGTGTTGTGCTGTTCTGTTCTGTTCTGAGGTCTCACTAACGTGTAAGATGCTGTTGGCGCCGTGTTTATTTATTTGCAGGGCCAGGTAAGCCTGGCTTCTCCAGCATATTTCTGCTGTCTTGTGTCCTTGTCGGAGTCCCCGCCACATACATCAGTGCTGCCACTGGGACATTCTCGTCGGCCCGGCCGGAATACCTCCACCATGTGATGACGTGTGTGGCTTCAGTGTCTCTCTCTTCTCGTGTTAATGGCTAACCTGTTACACTTGGCTGGTTAGGGATGGGGAGTTTTGTTTTATAGTGTGTGGGTTTTTTTGACTTTTTTTTTAAAGAAAATGATCAGAATTATAAGTACCGCTGGTGGCCTTCGTGTTCTTTCCTTCAGCGTCAAATTCTGGCGTCACTCACTCACTCACTCATGGACACAGCCCCCAGGAGGCCGAACAAGGTGGCCATAGCCCCCTCAATGGGTGCTGGAGGCCGGGAGGGAGGCCAGGGGGCTCAGCAAGAATTCAGTCGACCCCTTAGAATGGGCATCGAAGTCAAGTCCAAGAAGGAGAGCGGAGAGAATGTTCTGGGCCCAAGGTGGGAGGAGTTTTGCCACAGGCCAGTACCAGGAGGCCAGGGCGGAGACACGCCAGGTTGAGGTGGGAGGGAAGGAGCAGGCACATTTCAAGTCCAGGACACCCCTGAGAGTGCCTGGTGTCCACAGGTGGCCTGGGCTGGGAGCCACACCAGCTCTTCCACAGACAGCTCTCACTCAGTGGGAACAAACTCCACTCCGAGCATTGGTGTCCGACCCGGGCCTGGAGGACAGGCGGGCTGAGGGTGTGCTAGAACTGGAAGAGTGTTGCAGGGCAGCATGGCGAGGGTGAGCTGGTGACCACGGTGACTGCCCAGTGAGCCTCGGCCAGCGCACGGGCGCATGGAGGCTGAAACGGGGCCTCAGGTTCCCCTGAGGGGGCTTCTACTGAGGCATTGGAGCCACCAGACAGGCTTGGGGCAGGAAGTGCCACCTAGAGCCACCTGCAGTGTGCAGAGACCCTCTGAGCGCCAGGTCCCAGTGCTGCTGACATTGTGAGCACCACAGTCCCCAGGTCTCAGTCACAGAGCGCACCCTGCGTACTGGACCCCAAAACCAGGCAGTCCCCCACATGAGCACATGGAGGAATTCTCCCCCTCCCTGCAGGCCAGGTGGGGGTGTGGAGCTAACAGGTGGCCCTTGGGATTTCACAGCCCTAGTGGGCGGGGGCTACCTGTGCAGGGCTGATAGAAGCTGACTTGCCTCGGTTACACCCACGTGGCCAGTGGGTCAGCTGCCCACGACGGTCCTGCCGCCCAGGCTGCCTGAGCATCCACTTTCTGCTGGAACTCCAGGAAGCCTGGCTGAACAAAACCCCCCAGGGGGGCTCTGTATGATTCACGGATCACAATGCTTGAGAAGTGTACTAAAGTCCTACGTCCGTTGGCACAGAAGCATTTGGAAAACATAATGGAAGAGGTGAAAGGTTGGGAATCTCATTGTGACTGCTCTGCAGCCCTGGCTGGATCCGGCAACCAGCCCTTCCCCCAACCCTGGGATGGGCTCTCCTTCCACTGCTGCTGACGGAAAAGGGTCTGGACTTGACCCTTGATTCACACTTGAAAGGGCAGTTCTCAGACCAACCGGAACAAACGGTCCCACACGTGTGGTCAGGGTATAGCTGTGTGGTCCAGCTCTTCCTTTGAGAGAATAGGTGGGGATGCAGGAGAGCTTGAGACAGATAGGAGAGAGGAAGGGATTGGGAGGGAGACAAAACGTCCACAGGGTAAGGGTGCTGGGGACACATTCGAGCAACAGCTGCAATTACTCAGCCACCACGAATGGAGAGGAATGGGTGTTTGGAGGAGAAAGTGGGAGGGAGAAGGCAAGACAGGGATGCTGGCAGCAACAGGAGGAGACTTCTTGTGATCCCCAAATTCTTAGGAAGCTCTGCCAGACTCACCAAATTTGCCATGTATGTGTGTGGAAGCAGTGAAGGGGAGTTGGTGGGGCCAGGCCATCAGCAGTGAGGCGGGGACCTCTGACATCACAAAGCCACCCTCGCCCCTGGAGTTAGAACCACCCTGAGAGTGGGTGTGGGCAGGCCATGGGAATGGCCGTGACATCTGGGCCACGAGGGACAGTTTGGAAATGAGGACCCCAGGAAGGGATGGATGCTCCCACCTTGAGAGTCCCCCGGCCATGCCCCCTGCCTCCTCACAGGACCCCTTTTATGCCTCCCGAACAAACGACACTTCTCCAGCCTCTAACGAAATCATAAGTCCTGGCCAGTCTCGGAACACCCTCCAGAGGTGGGCATGTGGGAGGGGCCCTAAACGGAAGCCCAGGCCGCATCAGTGCCATCTCGGGACGCAGCAGGTCCTCACCCTGGGAGCTGCAGTCTGCAGGCGCGCGCTGTCCTCAGGCGTGAGGCGTCTCTGCCAGAACTTCTCCAAACCCCCTGCGTGCACGCCCACACCGGACAGGTTGTGTGCTGCCCTTTTCACGTCTTGGGGTCCAGTTTCAGCAAGACGGAGTTCTTTCTCTTCCAGCCAAGGGGTGACTTAATTCTGCAAGTAGGAACTCAACTGTATGATTAAAGTTAAACACTTAAATCACATAGAATGTCCTGGATGAACACATTGTTCACAAAACTAGTTTCGACCAGTTTGGAGGAAAAAATCCTCTGGGTCAAAGAGGGGCACAGAAGGTTCCAGAAGTATTCTCCCCCTCACTGACCTTTATGCAGGCTGTTGTGGAAACTTGCGTGACCCCCAGGATGGCCCTCACCCTTTCCAGTGGGGCTCCAGGGCCCAGAGTCAAAGCATGGGTCCCACCTACCCACCTCGTGGTCCCAGCCCTGCCCAGCTCTGACGGGGGGTGGCCGTGCTGTGCTCCATGGAGCCCCGCACTTCTCAGAGAAGCCTCAGCCCTTTGAGGGCTCTCACCTGGCCCGAGGTTGGGAAAGGCATGGGAAGACTCGGCCAGACTCAGTCTCCTTGCCTGAGGTTGCAGGGGGCAGCCACGCTGCTGGACAGTCTGCAAAGCTGATTGCTCTAGTTAGTGAGCGTTTGCCTAGCATTTCCAAAGGGCCTTCTCTGCTCTTCTGCGTGTCCCTGGGCATGATGGCTGTCTCTGCCCCACTCCTCTCGTTGCAGTGACATTTCTCCAGGCTTCTGACACCCTCACGGGAGAACCCTGCCTAGTGCTCAAAGAGCCACGGGGAGAAGGCCCTGAGTTCCCACTTACTCCATTCGAGCTGCTCCTATTTTATTTCTGGGCTCAGCTTAGTCCCTCGAGTCGGGCTGCGAATTCCACAGGGAGGGAATTGTCAAATATAAACCAAATCTGGACCCAGGAAGGAGACAATTTATTGGAAAGGATTACCGCCGAGGGGATGGGCCATCACTATTGGGACAACACTGCTCTGACGTGAGATGTGCAGCATCTCAGGGGCTGGCAGGGTGGGGGTCTCTCTTCTATGGGCTAGGGGGTGGGCGAACGGGATGGAAGGGGCCAGGATGGGGGTGGAGTGGGGGCAGATGGGAAGGTGGAAGGTAGGGAAGGTTTTCCCCCAGGAAAGCCTGTTCGAGGAGGGGCTGTCTGCCGGCTGGGGCCGAGGGGGCCAAGTCCAGGAGTCAGGAAGGGGAGCAGCCGAACCAGAGTTTGGGTAAGGAGCATTTTGTTTCCATGATCCATGATCAGTGGGGACAGGAGGTTCAGCTCATCACTGCGGAGGCACAGAGGTACACGAGGGTCTGTGTCTGGCCTGGTCACGGGTAAACAGGGGTGTCGTGTATCTCCGAAGGACATGACGGAGGGGCTCTCACCCTTCTCTGTTCTCCAGCGGGGCGGGGCTCCATGGGGTCCAGCGCTGTGATGCGTGCGGGCTGTTTGCGCTGCTGCCCCTGGGCACGCTGCCTCACCCCAGCCACTCGCCCCTCCCGCACTGCCCCGCACCTTCACTGACAAATGCCCGTCATCGGCCGTAGATCTGGAGAGCCTGTCCTTGCTTTCCTCTGTCCACTGTGAGCTCCTGCTGGCCTCAGACCCTGCGGATGGGTGGGCTGAGCAGGGAGCCTGAGTCCCTGGGGCAGGGGGAGTATTTTCACCTGGTACCCATTTGTGTCTTTGGCATTTTGAATCAGGTGTACGACTCACCCATTCGCAAAAACAATACTTTTTAATAACTTTTAGAAATCAGCAGGCTCTCTGGGATGCTGGTGCTGGTCTGAAGTTTGATTTAGGTGGATGGAAATTTATTGCGCTGCGCACGTAAGATTTACACCCTTTTTGACGTGGGTGTTTGAAAGTGTGCACTAGATACTTTGCTGCTTGGCCCTTGCCCTGATCTTGCTGTGCTTCTCCAAGGTGACCCGCAGACCCTAGGACCCCGCCTGTGTGTAGATGGGAGTGTCACTGTCCCTTCCTCTCCAGCCTTGGGTGTCTGTCTGACTTTGGCCTGGGACCCTTGACTCATCAGGAGCCACACTGAGGCATAGGACTCCCAGGCATAGGGAGGTGGGAGAGGGACCAGGGACTCTCTGGTGGTGCAGACTGCCAGGCTGCATGGGAGCATTCTCGGGCCCCGGAGCTACCTGCCCTCTGCGGGTGGGGGCCTCCAGTACCAGCTGCAGGAGGCGCTGGGGCCTGGATGCCTCTGAGAGACCAGGAAACCCAAGTTTACTAACTCACTGAAGTCCAGATTCACTGGTTCTGTGCCCCTGTTCTCATCCTAACCAGGCCTCCCTGGGACGGACAGTCCGAGTCATCTTGGGACATTACTGATGTCATCCCGGAGGAGAGAGGTCAGGAGCTCCCTCTGGAATGGCCTTCCGGGCTCCACACCCACGGCTCCACCTTGCTGACCCAGGCGGTTGCCCTAGGCGCTCGCTGCGTGACGATGGCCCTCACCACGCTGCTTCTGGAGGCTTACTCACTGAGATTCCTCGTGATTGCCAGATGACAAAGATGTGAGAACTCACATCTCCAGGCGATGTGAGTCAGAATCTAGAACTGGTAGCAAATGGCTGCACCAGGCTTATGGGGCCAGTTTGTTATACAGATGGAGAAGCTGAAGCCCAGAGAGAGAGACAGACAGAAAGATCCTCTGTCTGGGCGAGACTCTATGAGCCACAGATGAGATAAAGTGCACAGCCTGAACTCCTGTTAGAATTTCACCTTCTTTATCAAAGAGAATGACCTCATTGTTTTCATTAATTACATATTTTTAATAGATCATATTTTTGTGCAAAATAATTCCAAAAGTTTGCAGGATACGTATTAAAGCAGGTTTCTGCTCCCCCACCCGCACCTCCGTTCCCATCTCT